GCCAGAAGTTGCACATTGATTTCTACCGGTCATATTTCCCGTGGTTCCTTCTCCCTTTGCCAAAAGTTTTCAATTGCTAGTTCTGGACGTTGTCAGTGTGGCTTTGGGGGCATCAATTGTTTCTGGCAGTCTTAGAATCTTCAGATACACACCTAGACTTGTTAACAGCAAACCTTTGATTTTTTTTCTCTCCATTTCCCTTAGTTACGGCATTTAATTGCTCAAAAACGTTGGGAGGGTATTTATTGTGTCTCCAAAGCTCCCCCTGCTTGGCCAAATAACTCTAATTCTAGTAACTGGTCCTGGATCAATTGTGCACATCTGCTAAGGAGAACATTCTTACACACGGTAGCCAGCTGCAGCTCTTGCTAGAACCCTGGAGGTCGTACAGTGGGCTTGTTCTCCATCTCCAACGCCTCCTCCGGGTTCTCTGCCTCTTGTAGCAGGTTATTCTCGAAAGAGTCATCTCAGCTGTTGCCTTAAATGAGCTCGCTCCTTGTAGAGCAGCCGCACCTGGGCAGGGCCTGGCCCCGCCCCACCCCGCCCCTGCCCGCCCGCCCCGCCCCTAACTGCCCGAGGAGCTTCCCAGCTCTCCCCGCGCCGCCCGCCTCCAGGCTGTTAGCTCCGCTCCGAGCGCCTCAGGAGGCGGCTGGGCTTGGCGTCCTGCTCTGGCTGGTCCGGTTCAAAGAGACCACAGGCAAGCTATTTGGTTCCAAGAAACCAATAACAACAAGTGTTTTGTTTTATTTTGTTTTGTTTATCCTTGCCACGTTTGGGAAGAGACACCCTTGACCTGAATTGTAGGAGTGGAAAGAGGAATTGGGAGGCCTGAGGCCTGGATGCCGGGTCGCGAGCTCAGGTAAGACTCCCCGTAATGAAACAGGTTCCTTACACGATGAGACCGAGGACGCCAACCTTCTATTTTTTTTATTTTTTATTTTTTATTTTTTGATTATTGTTTCATATGACTGGGTATTTTTCTACATCAAATGTTTAAAGTTTATATATAGATAAAAGTTTATATGTATACATATATATTTTTATGTATGTATGTGTTTGTACATTTTATGTTTTAAAAATGCCTTGTACAACTTGGGCAAAATCATGGGTTTCTGAAAACACTGCTATATGGGGGAGTACAACAAACTGCAATTCCTGTGTGAAATTAAAATTAGTCTCTTTTCATGGCTTGTGATGGTAATGTGGATTCCAGTGTAAAAAAGTCTGAAGACATCACATATCCAAAACTAAGACAATGCTGAGTGGCAGTTTGGTTAGTCTTTCTCATGCAGGTAAAGAAGAAAAGGTGTATTATTTTGGGCAGAAGTAATTAAGCCTCACTTAGCGTTTCTGTTCAATGTCTTAAAGCGCATGAGTGATATTAGAGGAACAAAAAAAGACTGGTGCTAGGTAGACACTAAGGCATCTCCAATTTTGTGATTGTTGTAGATGGAAAAATATGTAGCTTGAGCCTCAAATTCTGAAGACTGTTTATATACGTGTGTGTTTGTTTATATATGTGTGTGTGTGTGTATATGTATTGAACTTACTATTGGAATGAAATACACCTCAGTGACTCAAGTCTGGGAAGAATTTCATACCAAACACTTTGATGCTGGGATAGGTTTAAGTCTGGTCCACAGCCAAACACCAATGTTCTTATTCTGTGTATTTTCAAAATCAGCTCACTTTCTTTCCTTCCCTTTCCCCTCTCTCTGTCTATTGTGCTTTATTAGTATATGTCTTTTTTCATGTTAGATGATGGGTTATAGAAGATAGCTGCCATCTGGCAGATGATAAATGCCTTTGAGGAAAGTTATAGTTAAATTTTTAAGGTTTTTAATATAAAATTCTATGTAAGTGATTATAGACCATTATACTAACTATAGTACTTTTTGAGAATAAAGTGTTTTTTCCTAGTTAACACCAAGTAAGATACACAAAAAATCAATAACATGGAATGTATTAAGTGCTTAAGAAAGTTTTTCTATTTAAAAGAAAGTAACCTTAAGTTGTAATCTATACTGGGGTTCAGGTTCATGTTGTGCAGTTCTACATTTATTGGTTTTTCATTGCTGGGTGACAAATTACTCCAAGCTTAGTGGCTTAAAACAACACACATTTATTGTATCATATTTCTGTGTGTCAGGAATCTAAGCACAAGTTAGTTAAGGGACCAGTTTCTTAAAACGCCGCAGCCAACATCGCAGGTGCAGGTCCTCTTCCAAGCTCACTAGCATCATTTAAAAATAAACCAGACTTAAAGAAACTTTATTCATAAAGAGTATTGTAGTGGGCAGAATACACCAGTCTCAGGATCTAAAAGTGTCTCAAAATAAAATGGGAGAAGGCTTTTTTATAGAGATGGGAAGACAGAGCTGGCAGGAGCTGTGTGGGAGAGGAATAGGTGGTGGTAAGAGCCTGGGGCTTTAACAGACGGTGGTGCTTTCAGTGGTTGGCTGGTTCCTGGAATGAATTGTTAAGGGGCTCAGGCAGTGTTCTGCACCTTAGTGCTTGCCTAATCTCGGGGGCAAGCCAATCTCAGGATTGCTAGAAAGTGTGGAGGGACTAAAAGATGGCAAATAAGAACTAAAGAAGGTAGAAAAAGAATAAGACTATTTGTAATGAAAGTGGGATGTGGAAGCTAATAATACTTCATTAACTTTATAGAGGTTCCTGTGAAATTGTGATGTGAACTAAGGAAATTATTTAGGGATTTGCGGCCAAACCTAAACATGTAGGTACAAAACATATACGCTCATGAATAAAGTGCTGTGACTGATACAATTTCACCAGAGGATGGAAATTGGACATATTAAGCAAACAAATGAAAAGCTTTGAGGGTTTAGACATTAATTAATGCTGAATTCTAGACTTTGGCATTTGAGCTTTACAACACACTAATCATTATAATGATTTGAACTCTGAATTATCTTCTCTAAGAATGCAATGATTCATTTGAAATTGTTCTCTTTAAAATTTGTACAGTGATAAACTGTTCACTGACTATGTAAGTTCTCTATGATATAATCTAACTTTCTTCATCTCTTTCCCCCAAATACCTGGATATGGGCTGATTTTAGGAAAGACTTATGAAGCAGTAAAATATTGTCTTCGAATCACTCACTAGCTGATTGTCTTTCTTGCTTTTTCAGCAAAACTTGGTAAAAGGTCGTTGATTTTAATAAAACTTAAGGTGGCATGTTATCTATAGTCTCAGTACACATATAAATGGTACCATCTTATTTTACAATATGGCATTTAATGAACATGCACAATCTAATTTTTTCACACATTTAAGTTGACAGCACATCCTTCATACGTTGTGTGAGATGATGTTAGTACACTGTTTCTTCAAGACAGTGGAGCAAAAATAACTCTTATCTTGATGTTGTAAGCCAAAATGGAAAATTATGGTTTCCAGAATTTAAGAGGCATTTCTCAGTGCAAAGGAAAATCAGGGTTCTTTTTTTTTTGGTATTGTCAGTGAGTTTTTTTCAGATGAAAGAATTCATTGAAATTGTCGGCAATCATCTGAGTCATGTATTTTCATAAGCATGTGAACATTAAAGCTTTAATGTACGTCTGGAAACCGGAGGTATTGTCTTGGTAAGTGGTGTGATCTGGAGGGATTTACTTCTGAACGAAATGGTGGCAGTTTGGGAAGGAGACAGTCCTATTCTGATTTGCTTCATGTCGTCATTTTCCTTAGGCTAGCATGTTGAATTCTGAAAAGAAAAGAAGCATTTCTCAGCACGCATAAACACAGAAGATATTGTACGAGTTCCTTTGGAACACTAGTTCAAATTGCAGTCTTTTAGAATGAAGGAAATGGATGTAACTTTCTGTTGGGAAAACAAGAAACAGAATCTTTAGAGTTCATCACAAACAGGATGGATACAGTCTTCCTTGCTGTCCAAGCATATGGAATTCTGATTTTGTTCAAAACTAATGTAGCATTCTCTGGGAAAGATAGCTTTTTTCTTAATACTCCTGAAGGTTGGGGATCACTATTTAACCTACCTGTGGCCAATGAAACATAAAGGGAAATCCAGTGGGAAAATTCTGGGATAGGCTTTGCCAAATTCTAACAGGCAGATGCTAGAGAATTCTTCACTGGCCCCATTCCTTTTCCTTTCTTTCCACCTTATAATGGATCAATTGTCTGGAATTAAAACAGCTATCTTGTGATCCTGAGTTGAAAATCTTATTGATTAAAAAATCAACAGCTATTATGGTCCAGATGGAATCTGGAAAATGCTTAGTTTCTTGGTAATATTAATAAGTGATTAACACTCAGTCAACCTTCAGACCTCTTAGTAAATATTATCTGTATCGATTATAGCTCTTTTCAGTTGGCTCCCGTTGCTTCTAGCTGAATGTGTATCACTGATGCAGCAGTTCAAGGAAAACTAGGAAGGAATCCTAACCAACTGGCTGACACAGAGATAAAAGGGCTTTAGCCCATGGACAGGTCAATACTGAACAGCAATTAGATGTTGAGAAAGAAGGCAGAAGCCTGCGTCCACAAAGGAATAAGTCAAAATGAGAAGTGTGTTTGGGAGATTGTGTGTATCAGGTACAGGAGTTCCAATCTTGAGTCAAATGGAAGTTTATAAGAAACTATCCAATCCTTCAAGCATTATTGTTGTCTTTACAGTAGCTGAGAAATGATTAAAAAAAAACACATAAATTTCATGTGTGAGCATATATAATCCTGATTTCCTGTAACTGAAACTAACTTGGCTGGTGGAATAATTTTGCTAATTCATGGGAAACTCAGGCACATCAAGCTTATACTCACTCTCTGTTAAAGGAATCAGCATTCGCATCTCACAGGGTGACATGTGTGTTGCCAGAAGGCCTGCAGCGCAGCGTGGTGTGAGGGCTGATCTGCGTGCCCGTCTGCGGCTCTGTTCTTCCCTTGCTAGACCCCGCTCAGATCTAAGTCATCCTGAAATGCATGGGCAGGTCTTCCGCTGTCCCTGTGGCATTAGCTGCTTATAACCCTTGTTTCTGGGTAACATCTAGTAGTTCAGAAACCTGTAAATTTTCCTCTTGTGAATGTTGAAGTCTTTTTTGTTCAGTTTTTTTTTCCATCTACTTATATACCCCTTTTAATGTTCATAGTTTTCCCTATACTCTTAAGCAAATGGTTCTAACAGTTGAAATGTAGCTTTTAAGATCTTGTTCCAACAGTTTTCAGAAAGTTTATTGTAGGGTTCAAAAATAAATCATTTATTTTTTGATTTTCCTTGCCTTAAACCTAGTGCTTATATAATTACTCTTTTTTAAATTTTGTTGACAGAGAGGGATAACATAAATTGAAAAAACATATAGCTTAATATTTACCAGGCCCTTACTCTCCAGGGATTACCTCATTGCCCGAATGAGGAAAGAAGTTCTTGAACTTGAGCAAAGGGAAGAAAATAAAAATGGCTTTAGTATATATCAAAATAAGAATGTGCAATCATATTCATAAAAATAATCCACTTTACTGAATCTGTCAACTTAAGGGCATATATCCCCAAACCTTCTGCCTGTGCTTTTCTCAATATACTACGGGCTGAATTCTGTTCTCCCCAAATTCATACGTGGAAATCCTAACCCTCAGTGTTGTAGTATTTAGAGATGGGGCTTTGGGGACGCAGTTTAGTTGAGGTGAGATCATGAGTGTAGGGCTCTTATGGT